CGGCGCGCTATAGTAGTGCGCCACCAGGCCGGCCCAACCAATGATAACATTTTGATCTTTCAAGAAAACAAGAGTTTTGGAAAACCTGTATCCACAGCTGTGAACTTGAAAGCTTCCTAATACTTCAAGTATTGGGATGAGACTTCTCTGATGAGATTGGTGGTGATATTAATACATATTAATATGTGTAATTTTTTGATATTATATGAAATGCCTCAACGTTGGGAAGATTGGCATTTTCCAAGTGACCAATGCATAATGATACAAAATTAAGTATGGGTAAAAGAGCCATTCAAAGTGCAAGTTAGACCAGTGACTATTTTTGTTTTTGTTTTTAGACAAGTAGATTTTAATGTAACCGAGTATTTAATGTAACAGAGAAAAGTTTATTGATAGGATTTCAAGTTCCACATTGTGAGTAACCTTTAGGAAATCACCATATGTTGAATTTTGGTGTAGTATCAAAGAATAATATCCACAGTTAACTGAAATGGCTAACATACTCCTTCCTTTTCCAACTGCATATCTGTGGGAGGCCAGATTTTCTTCATAAACTTCAACCAAAATATCATATTGCAGCAGATTTACTGCAGAAGCAGATCTGAGAATCCAGCTGTTATCTGTTAAGCCAGACATTAAAGAGATTTGCAAAATTGTAGGACAGTGCCACTCTTTTCAAGACTGTTAAAAATTTTGTTTTGGAAAATAGTTATTTTTCATAAAAACATGTTATTTATGTTAATGTAATAGATTTATTTTACTTTAAAATGAATTAATATTTAAATTTTATTAGTTTTAATTTTAATATGATAAATGTTGATAGATTATAACCCACAGAAACAAAAGCTCTTTGGAGTCCCTCAGTAACTTATGAGAGTTTAAAGGGGTCCTGAAACCAAAAACTTTAAGAACTGCTGACCTAAGTTGTGGCCGATAAAGGACGATGCTCGGCAATAGCCATCTGTGCTTCCTTGAGGACTGTTTCTTCATGTTTATCTCTTCACTCTGGAATTATAAAAAGGGGATCTAGGTTCTCCCAGCTCCCATTAGTAGACCCAGTTCCTACCAACCCACACACTAATACCTGTCTGTGTTTGGGACAGGAGCAATAACTAAGCATCTTCTTGAAGAGGCCATGCGCTGACTCCCAAATTATGGGATTTAGGTTAAAAAAATAAAGTTGGTTAAATACAGTTCTCAATATTTTTGCAACAAGAAGCTGCTTTTTATTTTCACAGACCTGATAATTCTCCATGTAGTTAAGACATAAGGTTTTAATGAAGCTGCTAACTCTGGTCTTTGGCGTCAGACAGCCTTACCTATTTCATAGCTTTATGACTTCAGGCAAGTCATTTTTATCTCTCAGAGCTGCAGTTTCCTATATATGAGGTAAAAAACTGGATTAACAATAGTTTTAATGAGGAGGTACGCGAATAGATTTTAGTTCTTCTCCTTGTTCTTACTGGAAATCTTTGGGGGCTTTGGCATTTGAGGTTGAGGCTACTCAATTTGTAAATCACTGCTCAATGACTGCAGACTCCTGTCAGAGAAAGCTATTCAGCCCAGCTGTTGGATTTATTTGATTAAGTACATATTTTAATAATAAATCTCATCCCCCCCAACACACGTGCGAAGATTGCACAACAAAGCAAGTATTAGGTGATCTGGCATATGGTCAATCATACCTTTTAGATTATAAGTTAATTTCTTCTTGGCTCTTCAGAAAGCCAGTAAACACTTTGATATCATACTAGTGAGAATGAATACCTTTCAGGGAAAGGATAGGTCCTTTGGGACTAGCTCTGCTCTTTTGAAGACGTGTGTGCCATACTTTTAGATACGAGCACATAAATACACTCTAAATCACACCAGACCTTGTTCAGATTTGTGTTTATATACTAAATCATTCTCCATGTGCTAATTTTAAAATGTAGTCTTGATCTCCTCTAGTTTTTCTGGGAAGTTCTTTACTGAAAACAGAGCAGTGACAAGTGGGGTACATTATTGCTTTCTGAGGTTTTCGTCTTTTATTCCCCATTCCACAGAGATATCCCCTGACCTGTGGTACTGTGGCTCCTGGAAGATCTGGGAGTTGTTATTGCATGGGGCTAGAGGATCCATATGCACATTTTCTCAAAGGACACTCAAATTATAAATGCTTTTAGGTGGAGTTTGGGAGAAAATGACATTAAAGGGGGATCTTAAAACTTGAACACAACCTCATGTCACAATAGTCCATGCAACATGATGTCATCTCTGATGTATCAAACATTTGCCGCTGGCTTTTCTGTGACTCGGCTCCCCACTTCTCCATCTCTGGACTGTGCCCTCACTCTGCTTGTTGCTTTCCCATTCTTCGAAATCTCTTCAGTCACCCTCCTAGAGTAGAATCTGTCTTGCTTTCAACTCTTAGTTTGTTCGGGAGCCTAAAGTGCTGTTAATGACTATCTAGAGTATATTTGCTTTCTCTTTCTCTGTGGTTTCTCTCTCTTCATTTTCGACATTACCATCTTTCCTTAAAGACCACCTCCTCACACCAGTTTTTACTTATGACCAAGTGCCCGTACCGTTCAGCTGTGAAATTCACAAAATTTAGAAATTGGAAAGAGAAAATTGGTAGGTGAAAGGGAAGGACACACTACTTTAGAGATCATTTACCTACATTTCTAGGAGAATGTTAAAGCTTGCAAAGTGCTACTTTCTCACTGAGCACATTGTTCATGTTTATTTTTGTACACATAAATATATACAGTGGTAATCGAAGGTTCACTTTGATTCAGTCCCATTCTCCTAGTACTTTTTTTTTTTTAAAAGATGACCGGTAAGGGGATCTTAACCCTTGGCTTGGTGTTGTCAGCACCACGCTCAGCCAGTGAGCTATATAGGCCATCCATATATAGGATCTGAACCCGTGGCCTTGGTGTTATCAGCACCACACTCCCGAGTGAGCCACAGGCCGGCCACTCCCATTCTCCTAGTACTTAACGTTCTACCATTGTCTTCCAGAATATTTAGGTTCTTGGTTTGTTCCTAATGACTGTACATGATACTATGTTCTGCTAAAGGTACCTAAAATTAACCAAAAAATCTCCTCAAATGCTTGAAATAAAACATTCTTTTGATAAAGCCATACTCAGAGACTGTTGGAAGTACAAGGATCATTTAAAAAATCATTTCATAGATAAGTGCCATTGTGATTAAATGACTTGCTTGTTGGGGATAGACCTAGAACAGAATCCAGCACTGCTTTCCCCATTTACCATGCCAGTGAAGGACTACAGTTTGTTTGAATATGATGGAATTATTTCAGAATGAGTTGCTAGAAATTATTCAACTCTAATAACCTAAAGATGTATTGTAACTGTATCCCTGTATTTTTAGTAAATTAGCAAATAAAAGAGTACTTTGAATCTAGTAGTGGAAATAGGCAAATAACAGTACACCTATCATGCCTTACTTTTGTATATTAATTTAATGTTAGTTTTATTGGTAGGAAAATCTTATTTAGGTGGTTGTCATACTTAAGGTAGGAAGAAATATATTCTGTCCAGTAATGAAAATAGGTTAGAGTCTGTTTTGAGTCTTTATCATACATATGGCCTAATCAAGTTCTTATACAGGGGCTCACTCATGGGATCCAGCTAAAATTGAGTGTTGATTCTTTCTGCTCTCTCCGGTGGTCTTTGCCTTTTTGGAGAGTATCTAAGAGTATGAGAGATCATCCAGAAGTATCTGAGAGTATCTGAAGTACATAATAAAACTGTTTATTAATAAATCAAGAAGTATTTACTGAGCACTTAAAATGTTTTAGCTAGTTACAACACTATAGCAAATGACTTGAGTTTTGTTTGAACATAAACTTTTTTGCATGTAAGATAGTAAAAGTAAATTTTATGATGTTGCTTTTGGTTTTGTGTCATTATTAAATGAGCACTAGTTATTTTTTTCTTTCCTAAAAATAAGATACTGATTTTAACCCCCCCCCAAATGAAGTAATTTGCCTCCCTTTTTATGAAGTAATTCAGTGATCTCTTTATTTATACATTATAACCATATGTATTCAGCCAGAAGTTAAATGAGCACTAGTTATTTTTTTCTTTCCTAAAAATAAGATACTGATTTTAACCCCCCCCAAATGAAGTAATTTGCCTCCCTTTTTATGAAGTAATTCAGTGATCTCTTTATTTATACATTATAACCATATGTATTCAGCCAGAAGCAGAAGTTATTCTTCTCTACCCTCCCTCCCACAGCTAAACAGCTTTGGGCAGAAGCATGCAATCTTTTTGCTATTAAGGTTCTGTGAAGTAAGGCCAGAAAGCTTAAAAACATTTTGACCAAGATGGTTTAGGAGTCTGGTTATGTCTCAATTTGTTCTGAGTGACTTGATTCAGTAACAATTGGGTTGTCAAAGAAGTGGTGTATAATGAGTGTTTTCTCACATTTAAGCTCATTCTACAAGATGTTCTTAGACTAACAAATGTATCTTTCATATAATATAATATAGAAAACCCCCAATTTAGGAGCAGTTTCCCTGCTCAGAAACTGTCTCCTTATCTTAGACTTTTACCAGGATGTGTTAGATTCCTGTCCTTTTCTTTTTTCTAAGTCTGCATTGCTACATCTCATGTTTTTAAAATTTTTAATTTTAAAAATTAATTTTGTAAAAATTTGAGACAATTTCAAGCTTACAGAAAAAGGTGCAGGTACAGTACAATTGTCCTCTGTGTCTTGAAGTCCATAGTGCTTTATCATCCTCAAATACAAGGACATTCTCCTGCATAATCCAATATGTGCATTAATATCAGAAAATTAATGTTAACATATTGCTACCATCTAATCCTCTTAAGACAGGTCTGTGAAAACTAGTGAACTGACAAAAAAAGCAAATTTGAGTACTGCATTATAGAAAAAAGGTCACGATAATACATAGTTGAGAGAAGGTATGAAAGTATATAATATCAGAAAAATAGGTGTATTTAATATAAACTAAATGACAAATGGAGAGTCAGGAGAAGATGATCATGGTAATGGGGCTGCTGTCCATGTGTCTGTCCAGGAATGCAGAGTGTGTCTGCATTCACTTTGATGCTGACTATGTGAGCTCTTCTGGTGACTGATCACTTAACTACAGGATAATGTCAGCCTTTGAATTTGCAGTTGGCCCTGACCATCTTGGTCTTGTTGGTCTGCTTCTTGATGTAGCTTCTAGGAGTTCAGTTATTCAGTACCAGTGTGGGGATTTCAGTACATCAGAGGGATTCTTCAGTGCACGTAGCTTGCAGCTGTCCACTGCACCATGCAGATGCTTTAGCATGAATGAATGTCCAGCCGTATAGCTCTGCTGCTAGAGAGAGAAGTCACATAGACCTACTTTTTTTCTTTCACTTTATTCCTGAGAAAGTAATATTAAATGCAGTTCTTCATATCATTTTTCTCTGATCTGTATTAGAAAGTGCCATTGTTTAAGTGGTGTTATATTGTGAAATAGATATACTAAGGATCAGTTTTTCTTAGAAAAAGTAAAAATGCTTATCAATAGAATAGTTCTTTGGAAGAACTACTATAGGAAATCTTAATTTAAAAACTGATTTCCAGGTAAGTTTTTAATGTTCATGTTTATGGGAAAGTTTTGATTAACTTTAAAGTTTTTTGAACATTTAAAGAAATTCAAGAAACAATTTACATATCCCATTGCCTTGTTAAAATGACTTGAGTTTATCATTGTATGTGCATTTGCATAACTTTCACAATAAGAATCTTGTTTATATTAAAAAGTTACTACACATGTAGATTCTGATTATGATATGTGTTCTTAAGGCTCTTGCAGACCAATTTGAAGATAAAACTACATCAGTATTGGAACGTCTAAAGATTTTCTATTGCTGTCAAGTGCCACCTCACTGGGCCATTCAGGTAGTTTTGTTTGTCATTGGGTATGGAAAATACTTTGCTTTAGAAAGGTAAATACATTAGAAAAGGATAATTTCAATTTATGTTTGAATTTTCAAATATTTCAGTGAAAAGAATTAAAGTGTCTAGCTGGGGATTGCTAACTACTTCAAATTGCTGTTTTGATTTAAGAGAATTTAAAAGTATTAAATATAATCCTAGAAATTAAATAATAGGAGGACCATAAACAATTTTATTTTCAAAATAATTTTTATTTAAAAGTCCTTTAAGGACATTCTGCCAAAGAATGAACATTTTAACCAAGTTCTTTATGAAAAGTAAAATAAAGCATTTATTTGGTACTTTATATTGTGAGATACCCTTAACTACTCTCCTCTTTCCGAGGATGTAAGATAACTAGTATAGCTCCTAAAACCCCATGTTGAGGTGGAGATTCTGGCCCCTTGTCCCCGTGTTCTCCTCCTGTATTATAGGTGTCGTTCCCCTATTTTGTAAAATTTTAGCACTGAAAAAAACTTAGACACCTTGTGCAGTTTCTTAATTTTACAGAGAAGAAAATTGAGGCTCAGTGCAATTAACTTTCCAATATTGATCACAAAACCGTACATGGACTAGATCCCTGATTTCCTAACTTTTAGTCTAGTTTACCTCCTTTCTTATTTCTTCATTGGGTTGTAATTATATCAGCTGATAACAACCAACTTACACTGCATACTTAGTGTGATGCACGCTTTTTGCATTTCACACACATTATCTAATTTAATTGCACAATTTTGAGAAATATCTCCATTTTACAGATGAGGAAGCTGTGGCACAGAGAGGTTAAGTGGAGTCAAATGGTGCCAGCCAGAGGTTTCTAGATGATTTAGTAATTATTGTCATTTTAATCTCCTTGTCTTTTCTCTCGTGGATTGTGCACATAGGTACTGACTTAGAATTATAAATACCAGCCCACTGTTCAGTGGTTCAGAATCCCCATTTATAAGATTTCTTAGAGTAGATTATATTCTTAAACACAGGGTAAACGAGGAGGTTTATTACACAATGGAATTTACTTTACATACTGAAGGAGTCTCAAAATGTAAGCAAGTAAAGCACTTTGCTATATCACCTCAAAAGGAATAGCTTCTTCATCAAGAAGGTGTTAAAAGCTGGAATTTTTTTTTTGCATGTTTTTGATCCTGATCTGTGAAATTTGTTAAGTGCTTTGTACTGTATGGTTTGTGGGGGATAAGCATTTCAGACTGAGCTATTATTATGATAAAAATGTCTGGTTGACAGTGTAGCTTTTTATCTGTTTCTGAACAGAAGCATTAGGAAACTTAAACACTGTTCAAATAGAATTTAGACTCAATGTTTATTTTATCTGCCTAGAAAACTGTGGATTTTAGGATCCCTAGGCAGTTAGATAAGGATCCTTTTTCATTAGGAAGTTAAATCTCTTTTTCTTGCAGCATGGGGAATAGCCATATCTTTATCCTTTTTTTATTATTGTTTACTTATTTTTTGGTGGCTGGCCGGCACAGGGACCTGAACCCTTGCTTTATTATCATTTTAAAGATCAAGAAACCGCACAATTTATTATAAAAAGAGAATTAGTCTCTACTCTGCCACTAAGTAGCCATATCATCAGATGTCACTACCTTTCTTCATCTGTTAAATGAAAAGATTGAACTACTTACTCCAGTGAGCACTAAGATTTATTTTAGCTCCCACATGCTGTTGTTCAGTTTTTGAAAACTTCTACTCATATGCTCCAAACTAGCTAAATTCTCCTGTATTTCATGGGATAAAGAGGTATTGAACCATCCTCCTTATTTATTTTGACAATATATTAGCTTTTAATTTTCAGGTACATTTCATTTTACTTTCTAATTTTGTCAGTCCCAGATCTTGCATATCCATTAGCTTCTTAACTCTTAAATAGATATTGAAATTTCAAAGAGTAGTAAAATAGTACTTAATAGCTCTCATTAATATGAAACTATATCTTATTCAAAAACCTCATCTACACTGTTAAACCTTTCCAATGCATATATTTTTCCATTCCTGCAGGATGGATCACTTATAAGGCACACTATAACTATTTTTGAATATGTTTACCCCAATTTTCTCCTTTTTACCTGTCAGTGACTAGGAAATTAGGTAGCTACTAAGTTTGTTAGAATGTACTTAAAATAAATACTTAAGCTCAATCTAAGTAGATCTGAGTGAGAAAGAGCCAGAGATGCCCCCATGGATAAATATCACGAAGGCCTACATTTTATGTCATTATATTGACTGTTCAGAGTTTAAAAAATGGATTTATTGGACCTCAGCTTTACAACTCAGAGATTGTAGTAAATAAAATCTCTAGGTAAGAAAGAAATATTGATTTTTGTCTTTTAAGTTCTGATTTCTTAGATAAAACTTGATATGTTGAGTATTTTGAACAGTTTATATATTGTTTTTTAATTCCTCACCCTCTGTGAAGAAGTTTGCTAAAGTAAAGGTAAGTATTGAATTGTCACACATTCCTAATTAGTAGATGTCAAATTATAGAAATTATGCATTTATTACAATAAGCAGACCCTTTAAAAGGCAGATTGGGTATACCTGCAAGTGAAACAGGAATCTCTCTTTATATCAAGAAATGTCGTTTTAATTATTTAAAAAGAAATGTTAATTTAATTATTTAACAAGAAATGTCGATTATTTTGATTTTCCCAGCGCCAACTTGCCAGTTTGCTCTTTGAATTGGGATGTACCAGTTCAGCCCTTCAGATATTTGAGAAGCTAGAAATGTGGGAAGATGTTGTCATTTGTTATGAAAGAACCGGACAGCATGGAAAGGTATGTAATAGTAAAATCCTATGTACTGGTGAGAGTCTTACCTCTTTGAGCATCTTCTCATTTCTTTGGTTTTTTAAGCTCACTTTTGCCATTATTCACTTATATTCTTTTTTTCACTGTTTTCCAAAAAACTTTTTAATGTTTTGTGTGATTGCTGTTGGGGCAGATTATTTTATGTGTATGCACGTGTATGTGTATATAAAATAGAAAAGCAGACTGAAATTGATTATATATTTGACATTTACAAAAGAATCAAGAAAGCTTTGAAGACAGTGTATTTTGATCTCTCTCCTTTACTGACTCTTCTCTTGTAGGACAACTTCAAAGTGAAATATTGAGAATTATTTTAATTATCATTAGGCTGTCTGATAATCAGAGGCTGTGGGCCTGAAGGGAGCTTACCTAGGAGGGACAACAGCTAGCTCAGCCTGTATAAGAAAATCCAAAGAGTGTGACAACTGCCCATGGGGCAGAAGAATTGTCAAGTGTGTAATGCACATTTAATTCCACTGTTAAATTGGGTCAAGAGAGAAAATGTTGCAATTTTTGCATCTGTTATCAATCTATTGTTTTTCCCCTCATACATGAACAGAATTTTTTTTTTTTTTTTTTTTTTTTTTTTTTTTTTTTCCG